GTCATCTCCTATTCCATCTCTTCAAATGCTTCAGGTTCACGTCCACTTTCATCCTCATCTTGTTTCTGTGCTACATTCCTATAATGTTGATCAATTTTTAACTCCTAGTTCCTCCATGAGGAGAACATCTTCACAATCACCCTCTGCTGTGTCATGCTGTCTGACGTCATCTTCATGAAGATAGAAATCCTCCATTCTGTTGCATTCCGGTAAATCACTTTCTAACTCTTCCTCCTCTTCTTCATATTCATCCAGTTGGAAGGTTTTGTCTTCGTAAATGGTTGGCATGACATTGAATAGACTCGTGGATTTTACCCCGGGGTATTCCATGTATCTGTCCACCAGGTCTTGGTCAATCTCTCTCTGTTGTAGCCGACTGGATGTTAGCCTCGGCGTGATGGTTGAACTCAGGGAACTTGACCGAGATAGCTCTTTTTCTGCATCCTTCCCACTCAGATCTCTTTGTAAGGATTCTTCCACTCGATCCTGTCTTTCCCTCAGGAGGTCCAGCTCCTCGAAGATTTGGTACGTCTCCGAGAAGACGTTGGAGATATCTTCACAGATCCTCCTGGTCTGTTTCTGGATTATTCTGGAGAGTGAAGCGATGGCCTCGGCTTTAGTTTGTCCCGACTTTGATAGTGGCACAGGACCGCGACAGATCCGGGCAAACTGCCGCAGAGCTCTTTCGCTCTGGTTGATGGTGCTCTTGCAGAGCGTCTCTATATTTTGTAGGTCCTGGATAACACCAACAGTGCGATACTGCTCAACGATAGCCTTCCACTCCATCATAATGGCTGTTTCTTTCTGAAACTCATCCATTCTTAGGTAACATTGTGACTCATAATCGTCTTCATCATGGTCTTGACACAAAGTGGACCATTCACCGATGGCAGCTAGTCGCCATTGCTCGTGCTGTTGGCGTTCGTACTCCATTTCCTCTTCGGCTGTTATCATCATATCATCTGCATCCACTGAATTTTTAGAAGACTTTGGAGTTATCGGTTGATTCTGCTTCTCACAGTTTGGTGGTGAGACTTCATCTTCCTTTGCCTTTGTGTCATGTTCATTACCTCTTCTCGATGCGTGGGTTTGGTTTCTTTCGTCATCACCTACCTCATTCAAATTTTCCTCGAGGTTTAATACGTCACCAGAGCCTCGTGACTCCTTCGGGCAGAAGTGTCTCTTCTCATTTGTAAGTTCCAAAGACTCGGCTGTGTCAAGGACTAACACTTCTCTGACAGCTTGTTCCAATCCAGCTTCCACTACTCTCACTGCACTGGAGACTGATAATGAATCCCCTCGTCCGTTTTCTCCTCTGGTGCCTCTTGAAGTCTTTGGTCTTGGGGGAAGGGGTTCTACTTTTGATGTCTCTGTTGATCTTTCTGCGTATTCCCACTGGGTGTCGTTGTTTGTGAGGATTTGTTTACGGCCTGTGACAACTACTTCGTTCTGTTCGAAAGTGTCACAAGCTCGCCTTGACTTGACACTGACTGTCTTGTCCACATCAAGTTTGTCATTGCAGCTTCCTGGCTTGTTGATTGTTTTTGATCCAGGGAGCTGAGGATTCATTACGACCTGTGTTACTTCACCGCATTCTCTGGTCCATATATTGACCTCATGACCTGACAGCTCCTGTGTCTTCACAACAGAGGGTCTATCCTTCTGGTCACTTTCACTTCTGAGTCCCCTCGACGTCTTTGGTCTCGCTGGAAGGGAGATCATTTCTCTTGAGATACCTTGAATCTCATCTTGAATCTCATGTTGTTCATCTCCAATATGTGTAACTCTCCTCTCTCTCCGACGCCACTCATCAAAGTCTTCTTTCATCATCTGCCTAGATGGAAGACCAAGGCTTGGGCTCTCTTGGTCGTCTTCGTCTTCCAGATCAAACACAGAGAGCTCCATTGCCTTGAGTTGAGCTGGAGCCTCGTTACCAGCCTTTAGTGATGTCAGGGGAGGTTTTCTTGAGGTTGATAGTGGTATAAAGGGTGCCACTTTAGCCCGTCTACGGCGTCTCCATCTGCTAAGCAGAAGGCCTGGTAGGTGGACGCAGCAAGTCGGTGGGTCATTCTCATTGACCTTGCTGTGTTTGCTTCTGGCACGGCATATGGAGTTTCCACCAATCCCGTCAGTCTTTTGAATAATGATAACCAAATAAATAGGCTCAATTGGATCAGACGATATAATTGTTTTACATCTAGGCAAAACTCAGTATTTGATTTGAAATGGCTTTTGCATAAGCCAACAAAGTTATTGCTTGAGATATATAGCTACAGGTTTACAATCTTTTCATGAAATTATAAGTACACAAGCGCATAATCATTTTTAAATTAATGTGATGACCTACTTCACCTCAAGTATTTTCAATAATTCATTTAAAAGTATTCTAATCATCATTATGTATTTTGGTACGCAGAAATATAAACCTCAAATAAATTCATTAAAACGATTTTTGGACATTAATGTTTCAAAGTTTTAAGGTAAAGTAGCGTGGCTTACTAATTTGTCGGGATAATACTCAGGTTGAGGATAGGATCTTTTCCTGGCCCAAGTCTCACTCAGACTTGTGGAGGACGGGCAGTGGATATCAGGTGGAATGCAGGAGGTTCTAGAAAGAACCTGTTGAAGTTACAATATCAGCAAGGCTTAAAAATAAGACATAATTCAACCCCAAATACCGTTAATGCAATTGTGACCATTATCTTAAAGCAATCAAATTAGTTTCCTGAAACTTCCGTATCCTGAATGGTTAAAATATTTAATTTGACAATACAACGCTTAAAAATGTGTCTCCTCTAATTGTTAACTTTAAACGTGACCTGTAGTTAACAACATTACATGTATTTTTCGTGGAGAATAACTTAACAGTTGGAGTAGAGTGAGTGTTGGAAGCTAGCTTGCCTATGGGCCACTTTGATAATACATGTACCCCGTGGAATTTTTAAAGATTTACCTGCACTTTGGTGCGAGAGATTCCTGACTGTTTGGGACAGACATGCCTACAAATCCAGACAGTCATCTGCCGGCAGTAAGCAGATATCTGTGAAATTTAGTTATAGAATTGTTGGATTTTGAAAACAAGATGTGACGCAATCAAACCATCCCTTTTTGTATGGAGCGACAGGCGTTACATTGTTTATAGTCATGGTGGAAGCTATGGGGGTTATGTGGTCATTGTTGAAAATGATCTTGCCCTCGTTCTGTGTTCAGCTTCGTATTCCAGCTTCACTAGGCTATCTGAAGTCCTGGAGTCAAAAGCTTTTGGTTCTTCATCGGCAAATGTTTTGATAGGAGCATGAAGCTTTTCAAACATGAAACCAGTGGCTGCAGACTGACAAGAGCCAAAATCAGGACCGTACATACAAAATTGATGCCTGAGACGAAGCTGAACTTTGATGCATGGACATATATTATACACATTTTGCATGAGATCGGATAAATTCGTTGAGGGAAGCGGTAATGGTGGATATCATCAGGCTTCTCACATTTCGTTTATCTTTGTGATGGGGTAGTATTTTGTAAAATGCGTGGGGCAGGCATATTCTGCAAGGGCCCAGAATTTTCGCGTTTTTTTGAATTAACAGTATTTTCAAAACAGACACTTCAGCATTCCGTGTGCAAATTTAGACAAGCTTTTGCGTGTGAAAATTGTGGCATTTCCATTTTGTCCATTATTTCCCCACAAACATCTCAGCATATTATTACAAAAGCTTCTAAACCAGTTTGCCGATAAATCCTTACTTTATCAGTATCTGGGAAACTTACCGATGGTGTACATGTACTCCCCATCATAATCCTGATATCTGTGTCTTGAAACGTTAATAACTATCGATAAAATCGCAAAATTCGCTAAGGTAATCACAGTACGATGTTCAAAGAACGGCAGTAAAGCAAAACCTGTCAGTTTTTTGTTGTTTTAAGTTCACCGCGGAAAAGGCGCGCGCACAAGAACAATTGACTTAATGAGGTCAAGTTGCTATGATACAAAACGCGCACATTAATGTTGCGTTTATGACGAGATACATATTGTAACGCTACGCAACTATGACCTCACTTGAAGCAACAGGCGTTGCTTATAAACGCGTGGTAGAGACAATGGCACCCATCACCCACCCATCCATAACCAAAGTTTCGAGTGACCAAATTTAATTTGAGTCTGTTGTTGCCGGGGGGGGTTTGAGTTCGTTTAATTTTTTTTCTTTTAAGTTAGTATGATGTACAAACCGATGGGAATTTCCAATGTCCAATATCAAACTAACTTTATACTGTCATGCTTTTGGAAGGAAGAGAAATACAATAGACTCACACGATCAACGCATGTAAAATTCTCGCAGTGTTGAAAATTCCGAAAGAAACGACAAGAAGAGCTACAAATAAGTTAAGGTTATACTTTTTGAGTCCGTGCTCTGTCATGATCTCTGATCTTAATTTACGAACGAAAACACGCATTTTTCTCATTTACAACAACAATTACGAGTTATGAACAAACAGCCAGTGAATTAAAAACTGGACTTCACGTATGACATCGGTTGCAACGTCATTAATGAAATAATGGATGATCTTGTCACTGGTTCATGCCTGTACCAGTTACAATTACTTTTAAAAGACCGTACGACAAAGACCAATATAATGATATCATTGCTTCAGTGAAGCCCTTACTCCCTCGTTCAACAAAACAGTAACAGGTAAAAATTCCAGTTTGAGTCATTTTTTAGCGTTTTTCATTATCGAGAAAACAGCCGGCGTTAGGGTTTGAACTGATCTGCGGGGCACAGGTCTCACAGTTTTTCGAGCGATGGGCAGTTGAAGTTGACTTGAAGTGGGCGGCAGCGTGATCTTGATACAAAAATACCAAAGGCTTTCAGTCGTATAAGGCAGAGTTGAGAGGGAGAGACAAATTTAGACCGGTTTAAAACAGAAAGCATATAATAAGTGTAAGAGTCGCTGTTACAGTTTAATCAGACTCTCTTCAAGTAATATACAGAGGGCGTGCTTCATGCAACGCGAGTAAGGAGCAGATGAAAAATGGCGGCCCATCTGAAGAAGAGGGCTTACGAAGAGTACGTGCAGTCTGTCACTCAGGTAAGGGGAACGGTGGGCCATACTTATTTTGTAAGTACTTTGGCATAATTCATGGTATAGGGCACTATACCATAACCAATAGAGGTTCAGATCACAACTCGGGGACTGTCCCAGAATGTGTGTGGTGGCAAAATCAGTCCCCCAAGTCAAGCAAGAGAATGTCCCCTACTTAGCCCCACTAGTGACTTGTGGCACGGACTCGCACTCCTGATCCATCCTTGGCCACACATCCGTATACGCAATTTCGTGTACGCGTATTGAACATTCCGGCACACCCACTTATCATCGTGGGCGCAATTTCTTTTGCACACAAACATGATTCTTGACCTTTCCGCTTTCTAAAAACCATTTATTGAATGATTTCACTCACGTTATTCAGGCATTTCCATGTCAATAACACTTCCCTTTNGGAGGTCGTGGGTTCGAGTCCCACCCGAGTAAGCTTGTGAGGTTTTTTCGCAAGCTCTCGGACAGCACTGAGCATACAGTGCTTATTAACATACGCTGGGTACGGGCAAAACCGTATATATATAATGTAGTATCTTATCGCTCAGTCCATGTATTACATATGTCTTGACATGGAACAGCCGTCGAGACGATGAGGGGTCAAGTGACGTAATGCTCAACGACCAATTTGGTACGTGAAAGATCCAAAGTCACAGGTTTTAGCCAATTCGCTTAATGAAGCAATGTAACTTTCTATAGTCTCGCTGACTTGTGCACGTTGTCGAAATCTAAAATGTTCTGCAACGACATTAAGCATTGGCTCAAAATGGTTCTTCAGGATCTGTAGGGTGTGGGCAAATGGGTCAGTTCCTTCTGGAGGAGAGTCGGTAGAACCCGGTAACAAAGAAAAGATTCTCTGACCTTCAACACCCAGACAATGTAGAAGTAGGGCCTTCTTTTGTGATGGACTAGAATCATCATCACTGCTAATTGCATTTAAGTAGGTTTTGAACAAATGATCCACTGCTTCCATATCACCGGAGGTTCACCAGGGTTTTGCAGTATGCCAGCAAACCCTCCAAATGCCATGGTCCTCGATCCTTGTCACCAAAATTTTATAAGGTAGAAGCAAGAAATAACAACCAAAAGAATGGAATAAATGCAAAAAATGACTGTGCAAGAACTTCAACAACCTTTTATTACAAGACACACCCTTATATACACACACTACACTATTAAAGCATTCAGTGGTAAAGCAATGAACCAATACCCAATCAACATCTAAGTTAGCTGCATAACAATTTCAGGAATTCGTCAGGTGAGTCTATACTTCCTCTATGGCATGTACTTATCCAAATCTCACAATATCAAACCTAAAAATTCTTTCCTTGCCATACTTAGATTTAGTAGAAAAGGAAAAACACCTACGTGTCAGGTGGCCGTTTAAAACAAAAATCCTACAATGTACCGTTTACTTCTAGGATTATGAGCAAGAGTAGGCTTTAGCCCAACACGTAGGGCTGAACTTAGCTCTACTAAGTGGAGCGTGAGTATTCCTTTTTTTTTATTTTGGACAGGATCGTCACACTGTAGACTCTCTTTTACAATCTGTCTCTTTTCTTTCGCCACCACAGCCCTACTTCAAGGCGTTACTTTGAACTTTGAATCCTAAGGCCACATAAAAAGATGATTTGTTTAGCATCAGCGTTTGCCTAAAAAAATCTTGCCATATGCAGGACTCGAAATTGACAGGCGCAGGTAGCTAAAATGTACCCGCTGGCCTCAGAAATGCGCCCCTAAATCATAGTGATGGGCGCAAGTACTTACGTCCATTTGATTCCATGTACCTGAACATATTTATTGTCTGTTTCTACTTTTGTCATGAAAAATACCTGAACTTTTTTATTTCACGTCGGATCAGCCTTGTACAGAACCATAACACAGTAAAATTTTGTTTACGCTGCAGTCTCGCATGCGATGCTGCACATACATGAACGTCTACACACACGCATACCCACCGCCAGTGTCACGACTGTATGGAAACTGGCCCCTCGTGCGTAAATTAAATTCATGCCATTTTATTTGTGTTTCAATCAAATCACAAATCATTTTTACAAAATATTTCTTGATATTTTGATTTTAGGATATACTTGTAATTTGAACGTAAGGGGAAATTTCCTGTGATTTCGAAGTTGAGAATCACTAAGTCATTAAAATTGATAACAGTGTACAGGAGGAAAACATGCGGAACATACAGTGTACATAGAAATCCTACGGAGAAAGACTGGAACTTTAATCTCATGTCACATGACTCCTAATGACATCACAGTGATGAGTTTTGTGACACCCTCTTGGGCTGATGGACTAAATGTGCGCCTAATACAAAGTTGGTCAGATGGATGAGTGCCTGAATTTTGTCATTATGACGCAATAAATTTGAGTTTTCAGTTGTAAAACATGCACAGAGCCTATGGAGAAAAACTGCTGCTTCAATCTCATGTCACGTGACCCCTGATGATGACATTTTGAAGATTTTGTCCAGGGACCCTCTCTCCGTGGTGGACAATGAGTTTACAAAAATTGAATGAGTCAGTTTGACCAGAGTGCCGAAGACTGGCTGTTGAAAAACATGTACTCAACCATGTACATGCATGTCGTTGTCATCACGACATCAACATTTGTTTGATGACATTTCCCTTTCTACATGTATCTGCAAAGTTTCACCCTGATGGGATATGTAGTTCAGGAGATATAGGGCTTCAAAGAGTGAACCTTGAATGTCATGTGACTTAATTGTCATCGAATGACGTCATTATCATATTAGGTCAATTTTTGTCAATAACACTTCCCTTNCTAGCTATCTTAATAACTGATACAATTAATACACAGTGGTTAATTCCATTAAGTGATGAGAGCCCACTGCACTCTTTTAATAATACACATACAAATTTAACTGACAACTGTTGGTCTTATTCGGTTCAGTTTAGTTTGTACAGTGTATGCGAGACAAAAAATCAACATCTCTTCAATATCTCATTGGAATAAGATGACCTTGATTTGGATCTCGGATACAAACAATATATTGTCCTCGCCTACTTTAAAGAATAATGGGCAACGAATGATTTAATGAATAGTTACTTCAAATGCGAATGCGTAATTTAATTCACTTTGTACATTTGCCTCATCCCTGTCAAACATACGGAAATTATCAGTCAGGTCATACAAAACATGGAATTTCATCAAGTGAAGACGCACTTCAGCTTTCTCGTAAGAGGTTTGATTGCCCAAACGGGGATCTTCTGCAGTACGGTGGATGGATTTTCAACCATGACCTGTAAAATCATCTTAAGACCAGCAGATTTGGAACTGTTAAGTTCATATCGATATACACAAGCTTAAAAAAGTCGAAGAAAAATACTGCAAACATCAATTTCACACAGTTCTTTCAAAAGTACATCATATTCCCTACTGACCATAACAACAAAATGATTACTTTTAACAACTGTGTCTGTGAGTACACAGCAGCACAAACTCTGAATGTGGAGTTTAAGTGTACATGTATGTTACAAATTACACTCAAAATACTGAACTCTGAAACTGGTCAAAAGGTTGAAGGATTATCAGAGTCAAAGAATGTTAAAGTTTCCTTACTATTTATAGAATATAACGGAAAACTGTATTTGTGCTTTAGGTCATTTCACTACTGTGTATTACATAAATACCAATAAAGTTTTTTTTCCCTACAATCTTAGGAAGACATGGGAACGCATTCAAAATATCAGGATTTTGTGAACGCTGAAAACTTTACATTATGCTTCCGAAACCTGCATTTACTATTTCTGCAGTAATCTTGAAAAAAATATGACGCGACATGTACACATACCGGTACATGTACATGTATATCTCATGTCTTAATAGTTGCAGTTTTTTCAGATAATGATGGTATTTTGATGAAGTTCTTCTGTAGAACAGTCTTGCTATGAATAACATTTCCATCACCAACATGCCTTCATGTCCATGTATGTGCTGGTAAACATTCTTCTGTGTCATCAAAAATAGAAAATATTAATTCATTTTGAGTCAGTTCGTATGTTGATTAGGCATGGAAAAACGTGTAGCAACTTTGATATCACATGACTACATACATGGGTAAGTAGGAATGTTGCATTGTGGGACCAGACACATGGATGTTGATCAGTCATGTCAGTGAGTGATTTCAATTAGTACATGCATGGGTCCCCCCTCTCTTTTCTTCATAACTGCATTCGTCAGAACTGGCCATCTCTTGTGTGCCAATATTCAAGAGCAGGCCTTCTCACTACTAATAACCTTGTTACTTTCCTTGCTTGGTTGTCTAACAGCTTCCTTCATCTTAGGTAGCCATGCTTCTGATATATACGGTACATGTAACAGCAGTTACATTGCATTCCAATCCTTGAAACTAAGGTACATGTAACATTGCAGAAAACAGATTTATCTCCTTTTACTTCAGCAGCAGCATGAAGGATACATGTACATGTACCTATACACACGAAGCAAATAACGAAATACATGTGGAAATATTAAGGATAATCAGCTGACATCAACATGTAGAAAATCAAACACCGTGAACCAGTAAAAAATGGGTTTGTCTTTTGGGGGACAACATTGAAATACAGTACACTCCGGCTAAGTTGGCACTCTCAGGACTCAAGAAATTATGACGACTTATGGAATGCCAACTTGTGTTGTAAATCGTCCTTTTGCTGACTTACATGTACACAGGTATTGCCTATGTGCATTATGATTCCTTGCACCAATTAAATGGCTTTGATTTTATACCCTGGTTTATTTCTACCTCTATGGTTGATGTAAGTAAATTCGTTCTCGATTATTATCCTGTAAATTCAATAATTGATCATGTGCTCCTAAGGATGAAGCAAGGACGGCAAGCCACTTGCATATCACGTCACAACTTGACAGTGCAGTACGTACATGTACGTGTATGTATGTACGTGATACAGTTACGGTACAGAAAACATACACTCATCCACACACGTGCATTGGTTAAGTTC